CGATAGCCTAGTAGCCGGGACAACTTCTTTATGTTTACAGACATGACGTAATGACGCAGTGCCATGCTTGAATTTCCCGCGAAAACCTACCCGTACCACTCAAATTAGAAAACATTATTATAAGCTAACCGTTGTGAATCGGGCTAAAGTATGGCGATAGTTTTGAACACTTGCTGGTTATGTACTTGCTCAAATATTGATTTCGGATAATTTTTAACCAAAAAAAGTTACGGACTGCAGCTTTAAAATAACTGTTTTTGATTTTTAATGTTTTAAAAAATGTAATTCATTCCTGTTATGATAAAGATGAATTTTCAGCATCACTACTTCAGTGTTCAGTGTCATTCTAATATGCTGATTTGGTGCTCAAGAAACATTTCTTATTTACTGTCAGTGTTATTTTAGAATCATTGCTATACTATTATAGTTTTTATTATTTTTTGAATTAGCTCTCTCAGTTCAAGTTTGAATAATTTTGCTGTGTTTTTGTCATTTTATTAGTTTTTTAAAAATATGTCTATACAGTTCTTATTCATTTTTATTTCAGTTTTAGTTATTTCAGTACTTAAACTAAAAGAAACGTAAAGTTATGCCTTGGCAACTCGCTTAAATATGTTTTTTTTTTATATAAAAGTACTAAAATAAATAATTATAATATGATGATTTGTTGCTCAAAAACATTTCTAATGATTATCTGCTATTTTAGTATTATTTAAGTTTTTATTAATATTTTGAATTCGTTTATTTATTTTAGTTATCATTTATTTTAAGTAACAATTTTTTTTAATGGTTTTAGTTCTAGTTTTAGTTAACAGTAGAAACCCTGATTATTATCAACTGTTTTGCTGCTTAATATTTTTGTGGAAACTGTGATACAATTTTTTAAGTATTGTTTTATTTGAAATAGAAATCTTTTGCAATATTACAAAAATCTTCAGTAATTTTTTACCAACTTTTGAACAATCGCCAGAGTCAAAGTTGGGTTTATTCATTACATTAAAGAAGATAATATGAAGTATTTCCAGAAACTAAAGTGTACTTAAAGGGGTCATATGATGTGATTTAAATTTTTCCTTTCTCTTTGGAGTGTTACAAGCTCTTGGTGCATAAAGAAGATCTGTAAAGTTGCAAAGACTAAAGTCTCAAATCCAAAGAGATATTCTTTATAAAAGTTAAGAGTTAACCACGCCTACCTAAAACGGCTCGTTCTAACACGCCCCCACATACCTACGTCACGATCTGGGAAGCACAACGCACTTGATAGCTGGCCAATCACAGCACACCGATGTTCAGACCGATGAGCTTTGTAAAAATCGACGCGTTTCAAAAAGGCGGGGCATAGAGGAGAAACAATAATGTACAGTATGTGGAAAATAATGTTTTTTTAACTTTAAACCGCATAAACACATTTCATTACACCAAATACACAAAATATGACCCCTTTAACAGGAAATAGTAAGAACACTTTCACAAATTGCTATGAATAGATGGTTACAGAACACTGATGCATAAACATAGATCTATGAAACCTCGAGATCTATGAAAGATTCAGTACTGGACAGGAAAGGGTTATTTTAAGTTACATAACCAGGGGAAAAATGCTGTCAGGCATGATGGTGATAGACAGAGAGGTGTTATATAGAAAAATGGAGAGATGGAGCTGGTGCATGTCTGTGTCTAAAGAGATGAGAGCTGAACATGGCCACAGCAGGCCCCAAAGGGACCATTTCTAAATATAATGCAGAAACTCAAGGTACAAGCATGCATAAATACTGTGGACTTGCTGCTTCAGAACTTGAAATACCTTCTCTCCATTCGGATTGCCCAGGACGTAGCAACCCATGATGTGGATCAGGTTCGGCTCTGGATTCACTTTACTCATAAACCGGCTCAGACGTTTCCAAAACCTGCGTGTACACCACAAACACATGAGCGAATCGCTCCGATAATAGTTCTCTTTTTATTAAACACTAAAGGAATATCAAGACAAGGCTCTTCTATGGATCTTACTCACTGGCTCATGTCTTCCTCTTTCTCGACCTTGGCAAAAGTGGCCACTTTATTCTTCAGCAGGTACAGATGCCCTGGGCCGCCCTGAGACAGAAAATTACACATTTGAAACCTTACATAACATCAAACTCAAAGAAACAGAAGACCAGTAGCACTGCCCTCTGAACTGAGAGAGAGAGAGAGAGACACCTGTGAATTCTTATCCATCTGAACACACAACCATTACGCAACATCAAACGCAAATAATCAAACAGACAGCAGTGAAGTATTATTCCTACAGACACTGCTGATTCGCTCTGGTGCACTTACAGTCTCATTTCTTATTTGTTGGCTTTGTTTTTCTCTCACCTGACAGAAGATCAGCATGCGCCAGATCTTACAGCCCCTCCTGTAGGCTGTCAATCTCTTCTCAATCTCCTCTGCACACAAAACAAACACACTGCTAGTCACATTGAGTGCCATTAAATGCATGATCGAAACCTATTTGCCTATTACCATAATTTTACTTTACATGAAAGGGTCTATAATCACACTTCTGACAGCTTATTCAATATGTAACTGAAGAAGAAAATTTGGTAATTTCCAAAACTCATGTAACACCATAATCTTATATTGTTGGTTTATTAATTTGCACGTAAACCCTTAAATTAATATTTTTTTCCCTAAGGATCATATTTATTATATTATATTACATTATATAGACATGAAGAAAAAACTGATCATTTACAAATCTTGTGTAAGCACCGTTTTCTTGCATTGTTGCTTTTTTGATTTGCATGCAAACCCTATATATATTTATTTTTTGAAGTTCACCATTATATTATACACTTTTCAAGCCCTTTAAATCCTAAATATTAAGTTTAATCATCATTTTATTACATTATATCAGAAGTCAGATGTCACAAAGAGCTTTATTGACAAGTATGTTTATTATTTACACACACAAGGAATTTGTCTTGGCGACAGGAGCTTCCAGTGCATAAGAAAGTACAGTCATAGTGCAAACATACATGATAGTGCAGACATACTGTACATAGTAATTATACAGTAGAGATGAAATAACACTAATATAAAAAAACAGAAAATTAAACAATGCAATATAATACAGAAGTACAAATATAGAGAAAAAACATATATAAAACATATATAATTGTTTTAATGAATATACGTGTAACATAAGATATGTTATTTACAAGTGTACAGTTTATGTAGTTTACAAATGTACAATTTTCAGATGTATAAATGTGTCAGTTATAATGGACAATGTATAGTTATGAAAGTTTTAATTGTTCGGGCAGAAAAAAATGCTTGGCTGTTTTGGTGGTCGGTGCTTTGTAGCGCCAACAGTTGAAAGAGAGAGTGGGCTGGGTGTGTGGGGTCCAAAGTGATTTTCTTAGCCATTTTCCTCAATCTGGAAGTGTAAAGATCTTGGAGGTTGGGCAGGCGGGAACCAATAATCCTCTCAGCAGTCCTGACTGTTCGATGTAGTCTTTTAATGTCTGATTTGGTAACTGAACCAAACCTGACAGTTATGGATGTACACAGGACGGACTCAATGATGGCCGAGTAGAACTGTTTCAACAGCTCCTGTGGCAGGTTGAACTTCCTCAGCTGGCGAAGGAAGTACAGCTTCTGCTGGGCCTTTTTAGCAATGGAGTCTATGTGAGTGACCCACTTCAGTTCCTGAGAGATGTTGGTGCCCAGGAACCTGAATGACTCCACTGCTGCCACAGTGCTGTTCATGATGGTGAGTGGGGGGGGGTGGGGGGGGATTCTCCTGAAGTCCACGGTCATCTCCACAGTTTTGAGCGTGTTGAGCTCCAAGTTGTTGAGACTGAACCAGACAGCCAGCTCTTTAATCTCCTGACTGTAAGCAGACTTGTCACCGTCCTGAATGAGGCCGATGAGTGTGGTGTCGTCTGCAAACTTCAGGAGCTTGACAGAGGGGTCTTTAGACGTGCAGTCGTTGGTGTAGAGGGAGAAGAGCAGTGGGGAGAGAACACAACCCTGAGGAGCTCCAGTTCTCCACTGTTTTGAGCATGTTCAGCTCCAGGTTGCTAAGACTGCACCAGACAGCCAGCTCTTTAACCTGTCTGTAAGCAGACTCGTCTCCGTTGTGTAAGGGGTCAATGATGGTAGTGTCATCTGCAAATTTCAGGAGCTTGAGAGAGGGGTCTTTTGCAGTATCGGATACTGAGTATCAGATCGGCGCATCCCTAACAAGACGATTCAATGTTTTTATAATTATACTTGATCTGTAGATAAAGATAAATGATTTTGCATAAAATGACATTATCTTGCTGGAGTTTAGTGCAATTTCTAAATCATGTTACTGTTAGATCACAACACTGTAGTAGAGAGCACTATGAATAAATTGTACTTCACGCGCTTTTAATGGCCTTTCTTGTTCTGTCATATCTATCATATGTTGCTGCCTCATTACTTTTCTATACATTTAAAAGTCTTTTATTAACATTTTTATTATATTTACTTGCTTTTCATGAATGTGTAACATTTTACCAGATTTAGTCCTACACGTATTCACTCTTAGTTGTTCCCCACAAAAGAATGTTTTTTCACTAAATGTTTAGATCAGGGGTGCCCAAACTCAGTCCTGGAGGGCCGGTGTCCTGCAGAGTTTAGCTCCAACTTGCCTCAACACACCTGCTGGGAAGTTTCTAGTATGCATAGTAAGACCTTGATTAGCTGCTTCAGGTGTGTTTAATTAGGGTTGGAGCTAAACTCTGCAGGACATCGGCCCTCCAGGACCGAGTTTGGGCACCCCTGGTTTAGATTTTATAAAATTATTGTACACTCATGATTTTTCTAGAGTAACTTTTGCTTCCGAATGATCCACTAACCTAGTTTATAATAGTATTTTTGTTATAAATTATAATTATATATTTTTTCATTTGTTATTTTTCTTTAAAATGAAGTTGTCTATATTTAGTAGATTTTGTTTAACACACAAAAGAGTGATGATCAGGTCAGTACACAGATGTATAGAAATTGCGCTGGTATCGGTGCATCTGGTGATCCACTGACAGATTGGGGTTGATTGGGCTGGGTCAGCTCTCTGTCGTGCACAAACAAGCATGCACAAACAAAGGTCGTGCACAAACAAATGGACAAACAATCAATATTATTAATTAGCATAACTACCCATTGGCATTTAAAAGGAAGAATGAAGTTCATTTATGAATTTCTGATTCTGTTAGACTCCAAAACACGTTGAATAAAACTTGATCACCACAGATTTGACAGAGTCACTGTTGTAAAACAGTCATATATATAGGCACTTCTCTGATCCATTGTCATTTATCAGGAATTCAATTGTTTTTGTGCTTCTCATGCTGGCTAGTGCAAAAATCAATACAAAGCCCACCGTCATTCCACAATGAAATAACCAGGCAAGGGGTAAAGTGCTCAAACACACACACACACAAAAAGCACACTGCATCCAGCAAGCACACGTCAACAAACAACACACACACACACACACACACATGAAGCTACATACCCAAAATATCATCAAACGTGGCATGCTCATGATCCTGGAGATAAAAATAATGAAAACAATCAATACAAACACACAGATAAGACTAATTCTGAAGGGAAAATGTGCTTTATATCATGCTTAATGTCTCTAATCTCTAATGCACACTCATCCGGTCCAGATAACATTACTGGCTCCTGCTTTTCTTTGTGCTGTTGAGGACGTGTTGTCATGTACTATTGTGTTTGCTATCAGTTTGGTCATCACTTGTGTGTTTTGTCCTCTTGTATCATATCCTACAGAGGGATTTTGGTTCTACTGCACAGGACAAAGCATTAGCTTTGTGTTTCAAGTGTCTTTTCGGTGAAAATCCACTAACTCTACAAATTTGTTTTATTGTAAATGGCCAAAACGGATATCTGGATGATGTGTCATGTAACACTGTGTGATATAGAGTGAAGACTGGCTTGACTTACATAGAGTATGGGTATAATAGATGTATCACCCCTTCGAATGATGTTGGGAACATATTCTGCTTTAGGAACTTTAGATGAGATCAGCTAAAGGATACAAAAGTGACAGAAATGTTCACCATTAAGAATTGAATTTTAATTTATTTTAATTGAATTTAAAATAAATCATAATAAATTAAATTAACATTATAAATTTGATTAAATAAAATTACTTAAGGTGACAGAAATAAAAATGGTCATCACTAAGAGTTGAATTTAAATTTTGAATTTAATTAAAGTACAGGTAAATTACAGTGAAAATTAAACAAAATTATGTAAAATGATTTATTAAATTAAATTAACATTGTAAATGTAATGTAATTAAATGAAATAAAATTACTTAAAAATTAAACAAAATTAAAATCTGAATTACATTAAAAACAGAAAATAACACATTTAAATTAAGCTGCATACCATAATTTTGGGAGGGATGAAGTCATCCCCCTCACATGCTAGTCTCTCCATCTCTCTCTCCTCCTCCCAGTCCATGTCTTCACATCCGCCCTCCTCTGGAGTACCGCAGGTCGTCTGCAGATCCCCACCTGTGGTACCACACAACACAGCAGAGAGAGACAGTTCAATGATGGACACAGAGATAGCCGAAGGAAGACACAGAGAAGAAAGGAACAAAGATGCAAGTGAGGAATGAGAAGAGGAAAGAGTGGTGGAGAGATAGAAAGGTTGAGATAGAGAGAAAATGGAACCAAGATGAGACAGACTGACTGTAAATTTGTATACATGGACTGCAGTAATTGAGCTGCTGGCTCTCACTCAGTTTAGCTTCTATGTTAGGAGTCATAAACTGATAAAAGGAAAGGTTCACCCAAAAATGTTATTCCAAACCTTTATGCTGTTATATATCTTATGTGGAACTTTGTGGGATTTTTTTTTTAGGAAATCCTACAGAAGGATAGTTAATATTGACCACAACTGTCAAGCTCCTAAAAATGTCAAAACAGAACCCTGCAAAAAGTAGTCCATAAGACTTTATGATCATTCAGTATTGCTTGGAATTGCACAATAAGTCCTGTAGTGTTATTACTGTTAACTAATAAAAACTAACTATTAAAAAATATTTTCCCCCCAATAAATTTTAGGTAAAAAAAAAACTTAAAAGAAAATTACCAACTTTGGTGTTGGTAAAACAGTAAGTTGGTAAGTTTAGAAATGAAATCAGAAAACATAAAAATAAAAGCTAATTAAAAAATATCAATAAATATTAAAACAGTATATAAATAATATATAAATAAAACTTTTTGTGAACAAATCAAAATTTTAATTTTAATAAAAATGTTGTGCTCCGCAGGACCTGAAGGTCTTTTTTGGACAGCTGTGATGAACTTTTCATGTAAGGAAAAATTATTTCTTCATTTTCCACTAAAAATAATAGATTTTGGAATGACATGAGGGTGACAAAATGATGACAGCATTTTCATTTTTGGGTGAACCATCCCTTTAACGGCTAAAAATGCAGTGTCAATTTGCTGTGAAGGACTCTTCACACCAAGTATGCCTATACCTATATGACACGAAAACTAAAAATCCTGAACCACTTGTTTGACTGCAGTCCATTTACATACATAGCAGTACAACTAACTAAAGCTACAGTACAAATGTAAAACTGCAATGAGAGACTGTAATAGTGGTTGTATAAGAGAAAGTAAAGAGGAGAGGAAAAACTCCATTAGAAAATCAGTATACCACAGAAACCAGGCAGCTATAGAGAGAGAAAACAGACAGAGAAAAGCCAACATACAAATATTACAACTGTAAGTCAAATGTTCACAATCATTCATCAGGCTCCCTGAAGATACAGTCAGGTGGCAAAAACAAACATGATGACAAAAATAAGTCCAAAGAAAAGCTACACAGAGTTAACATGCTGACACAGAATTCTACAGTGCGCACACTTACACGCTTAAACACACACACACACACACACACACACACACACACACACACACGCGTCTGGTTTACTATCCTTGTGGGGAATCTCCATAGATGTAATGGTTTTTATACTGTACAAACCGTATATTCGCCCTACACCAACCCTACACCTAAACCTACCCCTCACAGGAAACTTTCTGCATTTTTACATTCTCAAAAATTTAATAAAAAAACTCATTCTGTATGATTTATAAGCTTGTTTCCCAACACGAGTCCCCATGAGTTGGTGTGTATTCAGGTTTAAGTTCCCACCGGGATAGAAAAACATGTACACATACACACACACATACACACACACAAACATATACAGTGGGTACGGAAAGTATTCAGACCCCCTTAAATTTTTCACTCTTTGTTATATTGCAGCCATTTGCTAAAATCATTTAAGTTAATTTTTTTCCCTCATTAATGTACACACAGCAAGCAATAACAAAGAGTGAAAAATTTAAGGGGGTCTGAATACTTTCCGTACCCACTGTACACACACATACGTCTCCAGAGTCCAGACATTCCAGGCGGGACAGATACTCACAGAGAGAGAAAGAGAGGAGCACATATTTGGGACAGAACCACGCTCAGAGGAAGACAGACAAACAGGATCAGCATCAAGAGCAGAGGAAGAACATCACGGCCAGACTGTGTATGTGTGGGATATACAAGTGGTCTGCAAGAAGACTTCTGGTTGTAATGTAATGATTTTATATTTACTAACATTCAAAAGTTTGGGGTCAGTAAGACTTTTTTGTTTTAATTAAATAAAACTTTTATTCAGCAAGGATGCATTAAATTGATCAAAAGTGACATTAAAGACTATTGCATTTGTAACAAAAAATTATTATTTAAAATAAATGCTGTTCTTTTTTTACTTTCTGTTCATCAAATAATCCTGAAAAATAAAGAAAAAAGATTATATATATTATATATATTAAGTAGCACAACTGTTTTCAAAATTGATTATAAGAAAAAATGTTTCTAAATTATCATGTGACACTACAGACTGGTGTAATGGCTGCTGAAAATTCAGCTTTGCCATCAGGAATAAACAGCATTTTTAAATATATATATATATATATATATATAAACACATTTAAAATTGTAAGAATATTTCACAATATCATTGTTTTTACTAAATTTTGATTAAATAAATGCAGCCTTGGTGAGTATTAGACTTCTTTCAAAAAATAGTACTGACCCCAAACTTTTGAACAGTGGTGTAAATAAGTAGTAACTAGTGCTGTCAATCAATTTATGCTTTGATCTTGATATATGGGAATGCTAAGTGAGTCAAAGTGGCACGTGTAAGTGTGTGTGTACAGATGGACTCACTGTCTTTGTAATAATATTTCACAATATTACTGTTTTAACTGAATTTTGATCACATAAATGCTGCCTTGGTGAGCATTAGACTTCTTTCAAAAACATTTAAAAAAAGCACTTACCATAAACCTTTGAACAGCAGTGTAAATAAGTAATAACTAGTGCTGTCAATCATTTTATGCTGTGATCTTGATATGTTAAGTGTGTCAAAGTGGCATGTATAAGCGTGTGTGTACAGATGGACTCACTGTCTTTTGAGTCGTTTAGGGAGTCTTGTTTGACAGGGGTCGGATCGCTCCAGGATCGGTTGAAACTCTTCGCCCTGCGCTCTGCAAATGCTAGTGAAGTGGAGAGATGTTCACACGCACACACACGCAACGACCCATGATCCTCACAGACTGTGGGCTGCATCACATACACTCAAACACACCAACAACCACCAGCTACACACACACACAATTCTCATATACTTCAATGTCCATTCGTTCCATTGTCCTATGCTACACTTGAAACACACACAGAAGCAAAAAGGACCAATACTTGTCCTCAGTCACATTATAGGTCACACTGATGCAAAACTGTCAATCATCCTTCATACAAACACACAAACATGCAGAATATACACATGCTAATCTACAGCACATCCACCATGCAATGCATCACATGTACAAACAAAAACACACACAAATGGAGCTCTGCAATCATTCATATTGTAAACTCACACATAGACTCACTTTGTGCTTTCATTCTTCTGCTGCCCACCATTCTTAAATGCTTCCGGAAATTCCTAGAAATTAGTAGAAGAGGAGTGAAAGAAAAAAAAAAGAGTGGAAGGAAAGGAAATGAGAAGGTACATCAGGTCAACAAGACATTTTTCGGATAAAACAAGATAACAGCATGTTACAGCAAACTACACCAAAAAACCTTGTCTCGTGTCTGTGCTTGAAAACACAAAAAGATTTCCCTTGGTTATTCAACAGCGCAAACATATTTTGAAGGCCATATGAAACCCAAGCGCTTATTTATTGTAGTACATCGCCAAATAATTCCACCGCAAATGCCTTTAGAGACACCAGCAGACGTCCTTTCTTGTGTGCACTCATCTGCAGTAATGAACCAGCAAGTGTGTACTTTCTTTGAGCCATTTGTCCCACACTTCCAACATAACTACTCTGCACGTCCATGACAACTGTAGACTTAATGGCAAAAGCTGAAACACTAGTAAGGGGTGGAAAAGGTGACAGAGACAACGAGGGACATGAAGAAATAACAATAAATTAGAAGACAGAGGAGTTCTTCGGTCAGAAACATACTCTAGTACATACTCAAGTACGCAAATGCTGTTGTGAATGCTAAGCTAAGTCTTGCTGTAGCTACTTAGTTATAAAGTGTTTTTGGTCACTTTATTTTAAGATCCGATTCTCGCTATTAATTAACTATTAACTACGACGTTTGCCTCAATAGACTCCTAATTACTGCTTAGGAAGTTAGTTGTTAAGTTTAGGCATTGGGTAGGATTAAGGATGTAGAATATGGTCATGCAAAATATGTGCTTATAAGTACTAATAAATGGCCAATATACTAGTAATATGCATGCTAATAAGCAACTAGTTAATAGTGAGAATTGGTCCCTATACTAAGGTGTTACCGTGTTTTCTTGTGTTACTGTGGCGGTAGACAGAGTTACCTTCAACTGTTTGTGAAATCAAAATTTGAGTTTTGAGGCATTTAGTCCATGTGTGTTAGGTTTGAGGCTAGCTATAAAGTATGCTAGTATATTCCTAAATGTTGACAAAATATATATGCATTAAAAATGTACAGTCTTTCTAGCTGCAGATTTCAAATTGTGCAATATGCCATTGAAATGAATGAGAATGCTAAAAGAATGTTAGCTTTCTCCACGAAGTCATCGTTTTCAGTCACATGACTGGAGGGCAAAACATTAATAGGACTGCAGCACAGGCAAGCATTTGAGTTTATGTACTAGTCTATACATTGGGCCTTTTGGGCCTTGATTTAAACCAAAACAACACTCTTGGCAGGACTGCAGTGCATGGTTAGCACACTGGGGAAGCAAATCCTCATTAGCCAGTGTATTATGTTATGAAAATTTAATTTCTGAATTTTAATGAGTCTGTTTCAGTGTTTTTCTCCAACAAGTATCCTGTTTTGTGACATAATTACATTGTTGATCATGACTAATTGGAAGGAAAGTAATGAGGAGACAGGAAAAGCGAGGCAGAAACATAGGAGGAAGATAGAAAAAGCGCTTTGTTTACACATGTGACAGAGCTGTGCCCACCTTTGAGAGGAGGGAGATATGGAGAAATGTCCCTTTTCTACCCGTCTTATGGCTTATTTACACCCACATGCATTAGAGAGAGAGAGAGAGAGAGAGGGAGAAACCTCCCTCGCCCCCGCAGCTGAGGATGAGTCAGAGGCTTTTTTCATCCATTGTCTCTCTTTTCATTCTCTCACTCTTTCTGTCCAAGTCTGCAATCTTTGCTTCTCTATTAGCTCTTTAATTTCATCACCACCTCTCTCACGCTGTTAAATAATTGTATTCCCTCAATCATGCCCCTTTCCTTTTTTAAAGGAATATTTCACCAGGAATGAAAATTCTGTCATCATTTCCTCATCTTTAAGTTGTTGCAAATGAATATGACTTTTTTCGTTTGTTAATAATAAAATACAATATTTCACTATTTAAAGAAATAGTAAGATTTATTATAAATAAATAAATAAATAAATACATGCATACATACATATTTATGCATTTATAATAAATTTAATATTTATTATATTATGTTTAACCTAGGTGCTCTTCTACATGCTGTATAATGAAAGTTAACAGGGGCTGGGATGATCCAAAAAATGACAAAAAGCACCATAACTGTGCCATATAAAGTGGTCCTAGGGTATGAAATGGTTTTAAAATAACTGAAATATAGTGAGCAAATTGCCTGAATTACCTTTATAGTGCTTTTCATAGCGTTTTTGGAACTTGACAGCTCCAGTCCCCATTCACTTTCATTGTATGGAAAAGAGCAGCCTGGATAATCTGTAAAGTATCTTTATCTGCATTCTACATAGGAAAAAGTGTCATATGGGTTTGGAACGACATGGGGATGAGTAAATGATGACCAATTTCTATTTCAAGTGAACTATCCTATTAAGGGGAAGTTCAGTAGGGTCGAACAACTGTATGTGTTATTTCAGGCCACCTCAACTTTCAGCAATTACATTGTCTTTCCCCTACAGCAGCTGTGCACTGTGGGAGACATCTGGCTGGATGCTCCAGACTCCTGTCCAATATGACCTCTCCGGCTCCCAAACGTCCCCACCCACAGCAGCAACTCTGATTACATAATTGACTGCTTGCCTTTTCTTCCTCTCATTCAGATTCTCACTTTCTTCCTTTCACCTCTCTCTGTTTCATTATTTCTCTGTCCATCCATTCTCCTCCTGAATGTATGATTGCAGGGTATCATTAGTCTCATAGGGACTTTGACTTTCCAGCAACGTATCACACCACCCCATCCAACAATACACTCCTGAATCATCTACTGCTACTGTGACCATCTGGTCCTGTTTCAATTACCCCTGATCCTTAGAGTGAGCTTTGAATGAAACATACTAGCAAAAAAAACAAAAGCCAAACAATCTATAAAAAAAACTACCTTATTGATTATATGAAGAATATGCTAAAAGATCAGATCAATATGCTTTATGATATCTGAACTATCATACAGTATATGCTACCCCTTTTCTTTTTTTCCTGTTTAGGTGAGTAAAGCGGAGGCTTAGAAATGATATAATGTGTGTGAGTGTGTGGATGGGATAATAAATCTTATCAGCATTACTCATGAATATTAATTAGGTGATGTAATGCTCATCCAGTAGTTAAAACTGATTGGCTGAAAAGCAGGTAAGTGGGCATCTGCCAAATTATGATTACCGCTTACTGATTCAATCAACTGCTGATATAACCAGTTGGGAGAAGCTGCAATACTGTGTAGTTCAAACGCAAAGCAAATTTTAAAAAGGAATGAAAAACGAATCATTTTTAATTAATATTTCATATACCTCAAACATCAATTATCACTCTCAAAAAACTTGTTATAAATTTATTTGCATTTTAACATGTTTTTCAGTAACCAAATTAGTATTACCACTATAATATGATATAACCAGCTGAACCAACAGTATCACCTACAGACTGAAATTCCTTCCACATTCTGAGACTCAATTTCGTCTTGCAATTAAATAAAAGAAGTAAATAAAATGTTAGTAAATAAATAAAACTGTTAAAAAAGACATTTCAGACACACCTGCAATTCAAAATGCTGTTCAAAATTATCTCGAGGGACACTTAACATTTCTAGCTAAACTCAACTCAAAAAATGATCGACATCAGCATCCGTCAGCATTTCTAAACCATCCAAGACAACTGTGTCTCCGGCTGAGGTAATCAGAATTATCCAGACCAGCCTATCAAATGTGTTTCTAACCCATTTCCTGAATCCAAATGCATCGCTGCATTTCACACCACTAAAGCAACATCATCAATCTTTCCCTCAGGTTTTCAAACCAAGTGCATTGTGATTCATTTATACATCGCTGCACTGTGATGTAGTTTAAAAAGCATTTTATAAATTTATTTGCATTTTAATGTTTATTACTCTGAACATTGCTGATGTTATTTAGCATTGGAAATGTCTAGAATTTCTTTTGCACTCCTGTTGATATCAGTTGGACCATTTTTCCTCCAAAAAACAAAAAAAAAACGATTTCTGAGGTTGCAAACAATTGCAATTTTCCTCTCAACTTGCATAGTTCAGTCACGCCTTGGTTACACAACAGTAAGTTGGTTTGTGGCAGTGAGGCAAAAAGCAATTTCAAGATGTGTTGTAACCATGGAGGTAAGCCTTCGAATCTGACTCTCATCTCAGCCCAACCACACAGCAAATTGAAGGCTAAACTGCTTAGGGTGGTTCATGTCTAAGAATAATGAACGTGCCAAGTCCTCAGACAAAATATCTATATTGATATGGATACATATCTCTTTGCTTTAGATAGAACGACAGCTATATAGGTAGGTGTATAGACAGATAGAATGACAGAATGACACAACGATCGACAGATGCAGATCAAGTTTAGATAGACAGACAGACAAGACTGTTGTGCCAGATAGGGCTGTACTGTCAAAGCTCTTCCTCTATATCTGTCAGGAATAAAACCAGAGATAAATGACAGGTCTGCAACAAAGTACCTCTGGATGATGGAGGCTGACTCCATCTCGTTTTTTCTCCTCTTTTTCTCTGCTAGACTCCGGAAAACCCTGGCAGGAGGTGACACAACTTTAATGCCAGCGAGGACGAGGGTGAGGGCTCACTGAAGTGCGGTTAGAGGTTAGAGCCATGCTCATGAAGGGGCAATGTTAGGCTGATGTTAGGCAGGAGGAGTTCCATCCGGGTAAATAAAGGTTCAGCCATAAGCAGAGCCTCGAACTGGATTGAACATTGAAGTATAAATGAACGGGACTTATGCCACTGGTGCAGAAAATCGAAAGACCATTTATTTATCGTTGCTGTGTTGTTTTGCACTGGTAAGAGAATATCTTGACCTTCCTGATAACATAACCAACAGTATCACCTACAGACTGAAATTCCTTCCACATTCTGAGACTCAATTTCGTCTTGCAATTAAATAAAAGAAGTAAATAAAATGTTAGTAAATAAATAAAACTGTTAAAAAAGACATTTCAGACACACCTGCAATTCAAAATGCTGTTCAAAATTATCTCGAGGGACACTTAACATTTCTAGCTAAACTCAACTCAAAAAATGATCGACATCAGCATCCGTCAGCATTTCTAAACCATCCAAGACAACTGTGTCTCCGGCTGAGGTAATCAGAATTATCCAGACCAGCCTATCAAATGTGTTTCTAACCCATTTCCTGAATCCAAATGCATCGCTGCATTTCACACCACTAAAGCAACATCATCAATCTTTCCCTCAGGTTTTCAAACCAAGTGCATTGTGATTCATTTATACATCAAGGTAAAATCAATTTCAGTTTCATCAACTTGACAGCGGTGAAATGGCGGTTTCCTCGGTTCATACACACAAGCCCTATTTAAAAAGGGACCAGTTACCCTGAGAAGATCCAATAAATGTTTGTTTCATAGACAGGTTTGTGCTCTTCCTCACACTATCTCAAATTACGAAGCAGTTGCGAAAAAATTACTGAGTAAATTAGGCTACCTCGGAGGTCCTTTGAGAAATCTAATCCCATCCGGATAGGAATGTTTGTGATTCTAGTCAATATTTTTTTCTCCTTCACTTCTTATTTATTTTAAACACTGTCAAATATTGTAAATAGAGCTAAATTGCTGAGACTGGAGGGATGGCAGGGTAGGCAGTGCTGGGGAAGCTAGCGTTTGACATCACTCACTGTCATTTTGTGACATTTAAAGGGTACAAAAGGGATACTCACGAAATCCTGTAGAGCGGAGAGGTGAGGCAGACAAAAAAGAAGAGAGAAAGACAGACAGAAAGCTTAGATAACAACCATGTTTGAAGAAAGTGTGTGTGGTCATCGTGTACTTGTCAGCTCTCTGAGTCAGTTTGACAGTAAATGTCACTAAAATGAATGCGTGTTTGTAGTGAGACACCTTTTGTGCCATCTGTACTTGAGGTCAATATAGGCTTCAAACTTCAGTGTGTTTATGTGTGGGATGAAGTGAGTACTCACGCCTGCATGGTCGTTGTAGCAGTCTGAAAGCTGAACATGTTCTCTTTAGGGAACCAACTGTTATCTTCTGGTTAGAAACAGACATAAGGGACCACATTAGTACAGCTGAAATGATATATCCGAATATATGAATTGCGTCAAACTGAACAAACATATACAGTGGCCCCAAAAAGTACTTGGACACGTAAGCCACACTCCAAAATGTAGGAGTTTCATTGCAGAAGACAACAAAATATCAAACCAAAACAGCACTCAAATGATACTAGTTTTACTATTCTTAACTATCTTTGCAATTACTTTTAACTGTATAATAATAACAGTAATAATTATATACATACATACACACACACATATTGTGTTAACAAATGTTTTGCATGAAAAGTGACCTTGTGCTATTTTTCAATAAAAATAAATGCCACTTGGTTGATCATTTGTCATCTAATGACACATCTACATTTTTAAATACACTTTTGGGTTCAAAACAAGTTAAGCTCAGTTGCAAGTATTGATTACTACAGAAAACATGTTGGCTTGTCTCTTAATTTTTCCTTTTGTTGTTTTAAAGAAAGCAAAAAACATGGTAAAACGAAGGTACATAGCAGGTAATTGTGCTAGTGAAATGTGAATCTGTAAAAATGTGTATTATTTGAGCGTCTACTATTCTAGACAAATGAGCTTCTCGTTATACATCAAAGATGCATCTGTGTATGTGGGTAGTTGCCAGTACATCAACAGAGACATGTTGTCAGATGAAGGCATAACAGATGACTTTTATTTCTGTCTGGTTTTCAATTGTCAGAACTTATGAATATATGCAAACAAGAAAGAGACGTTTATGTCTATCTGCAGATTAAAGACTACTGGAAAAACTACCTGCTTAGCTTGATGTTGAAAGGTTCTAACTTTACTAAAAGATTCCATCACACCAGTCTAATGAATAATATTGAAGTACCATTGCTGTACTGTATGTGTGACTAAACTAAAAGCGTTTTATTCCCGTAGCTCAAACCATAGAGAATGGCAACGCTAAGGTCATGGGTTTGATTCCCAAGGAATGCATGAACTAATAGTCTCATGTTAACATCATGTTTAGTATAATCTTTAAATATAATTGCTGTACAACACCATTGGCTAAAATAAAAGCATTTTTAATTCACGTAGCTCAAGCAGTAGAGCAAAGTGGTAACAACACCAAGGTCATGGGTTCAGTTCCCAAAGTATGTATGAACTGACAAAAATGTATATCTTAAATACAATAGATATTGGATGCAATTGGGAAAAAAGTATCTGCCATATGCATTTCAGGGCTCCATATACTATCAGCAAGTGCCTCACTAACCACAATTTTTGCTTGTTTTTGAAGAAAAAATCTGAATTATTTTCAGTGGTAATCAATATTATGCCAAAATCCTGTTGATTAAGCTTTACTTCTGAACCTGAATCATTCCATTTAGTGTAGTTCAAGTGTCCAAATACTTTCTGGGACCACTGTGTGAAGATCCACCCGCAACAACATACACACATGGTCCACTCCACAGAGGGAGAGAGCACAAAAGAGACACACAGGAGAGAGGAGAGAGACACAGGAGAGCGGAAAAATACAGACCACGGCACATCGAACACATCGACGCCCCCGTTGTTGGCTGAACCCCACCCCTTCCCCTCGGCCAGAGCCTCTCTCTCTTTCTCTCCCCTGTCGCTCTCCCCCTCTCACCTTGCTCCAGCCCAGTCATGCGGTCCACACTGCACATCTGCTCTAGTGGTGGCCGGCGCTGCTTGCCTGCCTCTCGGGTGCTGCTTTCCAGGTCCAGGGAGCCCTGGCTGCGCGAGGGAGCCCCGGGACAGGCCTCACACGCCAGGCCGCAGTCCTTTCCCTCCCCCCAGCCACGGATGTTGTGTGCGCTGACCGAGCTCTGCAGAGGCTGGGAAAGGTGGTGGGGATGGGGCACCCCGTGGTGATGGTGCGACGTCCCCGCACTGGAGATGTGCTGGTGGGGGTTTGTTCCTCCGCTGCTTCCACCTCCGCTGGTGTTGCTGTGATGGTGGTTGCCATGATGGTGGTTGCTGTGATGATGGTTTCCAGATCCACTTCCGCTTCCACTTCCATGGTGGCGGTGGTGGTGCTGGGTCGGAGAAGACGAGTTGGAGGACGTAGAGGGCTGGGCGAGCTCTTGGGCATGACACGCCTCCTGCGCCCCTTTCAAGACCTCGAGCTCCAGGTTCTCCTTGCTTCCCCGGCTGGTTCCCAGCATGCCGCTCTCTCCGGTGATGGTGTAGGCCCGAGCAGGCTGCAGGGAACACTCCACGCACTTCTGCTGATCCTCCTCTGCCGAAAAGCTGCGCTCTAGGGACAGCCGACTCTTGGAGGAAGTTGCCGGAGGTGGCGGTTCCAGAAGGCCCAGGGCGGGATTGATCAAGCTGGGGTCGGCGCTGACGGCTGAGCCCTGGAGGGTGCAGCTGTGGAAGTTGTTGTTCTGAGTGCACAGGCTGTCTGGGGAGTCAGAGTCGTGGCCAACGAGGGTGTCAGACAGTAAGTAATCTTCAAATCAAACATTAGGACAGATGACAAGAGAAAGAGAGAGGACCAAGTGAGAAACAGCAAGAGATGCACAGAGAAAAAGACAGATGAGGTAACACACGCTACATTAAGAAGTGGCACAGCTCCTCATGAAACATGAACGCACCTCTAAGTGGACTGGAAAAAAAAAGAGCAGAAAGACAGAGGAGTGGAGATAACTGACCTGATCCGTTGCGGTTCTCAGGATGGGTGTGAAGGTACTCTCCAAATACACGAGCTGCTCTGCAAAAAAACACACACGCATTCGTCAGTGGCAGGCCCACACTGTGACTATAGTCATGGATGAAGGATAGTGTTAGGCATGACATGCTGTGAAGTCACAAGCAAATGACTTGGTTCTATTAATGAATCGTTCAAAAAGACTCACAAACCAGTTACAAGCTTGAATCAGTCTGACAAATCTTTCATCAAATTAACTCATTGAATCAGTCAGAGCAGTTACTGAATCAAAATCAGACTCACTGAAATGCAAGTTATCATTACTTTCAATGATGTCGATCTCGAAATTAAGCTTTGAGTACTTTTGAGTGCTTAAAGGGATAGTAGTATACCCAAAAATGTCATCATTAACTCACCCTCATGATGTTCCAATCCTTTTGAAATACAAAAGAATATAATAATATTAATATTTTGAATAATGCTGGTAACCAAACAGTTTTTGTGCCCATTGACTACCAAGTGAATTGAAATATCCTCTTTTATGTTCCTCAGAAGAAAATCATGTGGGTGAATGAATTTTGGCATGATTTTAATTTTTCAGTGAACTATCCCTTTAAGGTTTCTGAAAAGTCAATTAGAATCATTACTGACTCACTGTTATAATGACAATGTATAGCTAAAAATATACATTTGCGATAAATAATATTTTAATAATAAAAAACCATAATAGAATAGTACTCTCAGCTCAGATTTCACCATGTGAAATCCATTCTGCAGAATTCCACATTTTCTCCTAAAATCAGCTTAGTCATCAGGCTACAAAACCACAGAAGCATCACACAGTGTAATCCAGCAGTGCACAATCCAGTGACCCTGTCAGCAGCTGATCGTATTTAACAATTACTGCAATCCTTTCATTACTAAAATCCTGTTTTAATGAATCAAGCCCATCGTGATGTCTCTCTTACAAGAGAACGTCAGAGCATTCAAGCAAGCATTAATGCAAACTTGCATATTAAAACATGCATACATCTGCATTTTATACATTTAAACATTATATCACTATATTTATCATTTTATTTTGATTTAATTATTATTTTCGTCAGGTTTTATGTGCTGCTAAAGCAATCAAAATTTAGTTTTCATGACCATGAGAGGCACTCACACTGACACGATTGAGAGTTTATTTGTTACTGTGCCTTTAAGACTTTTAAGTAAATAGACAGCACTTAAACTCTTTTATGTACTAAAGATCAAGTAAGATTTCTGATGATATGGCCCCCTTTAAATAACTATTTCCCCCACAAATGAACACGATAAAGCCCTTCTTGAAAAAGTCTAGATGGACGATGGTTCCTTATATGTCATTACCTCTTCCTGCTTCCGGATCCGGCTGTCAGTTTCTCTCACTTTTTTTTCAATTTGAGAAATGACAGGCCCAATGCGGACTACTCTTAGTCTCTTAGTGTCACCTGCTAAGCTGACACCAGCCTCGGGTATAAAGGGCTTTCACAGGGATATGAGTAATGCTCTGCATGTGGCAGCTGCCTGCATCGGGAGGTTTGAAAGCCGGACTCCTCAAACTTAAGAATGTGGCTCGGCTTCTGCAGTGTGAAGGCTGAAATGAGGGGCAGGTATGTGGAAACGCATGTGACTGTGAAAAAGAGGGCATATGGCTGAAAGAAAGGTGGAAAAACAAGAGTGGGGAGAGGAAGGGAGAAAGAGAGAGGAGGAGGAGGAGGAGGAGGAACAGAGACAAATGCACTGTGTAAATGTAACTGGTTGCTTTGAATTTCAGAGCCACCCACAGATTCAGATGTAGCGTTTTTATCTTTCCAGTCCAAGAGGAAGAATGTGGGAGAATTTGAGGGGTGAAAAAGGGACAAACAGAGACATGGAGTTAAGTAGAAATATGGATGTGAAAATATAAATATATAATAATTAAATGACTACATATATAATAAAAACAACTGTGGAATTAAGAAAAATTAAACATGACAGTCAGCATTTCTTTTACCATTTTTAATCACTATTTTCAGTTATGAGGTCATAAAAAAACTGCATGTATAAATAATAAAAAAATTATAAATCATAATAAAATAATGAAAAAATAAGAAAAGAAAAAATTTAAAGTAGAAGAGCGTGTCATGCTGCAGGTCATGTAAACTAAAATGAAAACCGAAAATTAGTGTAGCATATCACGCTGCAGGTCATGTCAACTAATATAATAAATATAAAAAATAATTTGAAAAGAAAAATAATTTAAAATGAGTCTAATATCACTGCAGGTCATGTCAACTACTATAATAAAATAATAATTTAAAAAAAGTTTTAAATTAGTATAGTATTGCATGCTGCAGGTAATGTCAACAACTATAATAAAAAAGAATTTTAAAATAATTTTAAAAAGAAAAAATGTTTAAAATGACAATAGCATGTCACGCTGCAGGTTGTGTCAACTACAGTACAATCAAATAAATATGGTTAAAAATGAGTATAGCATGTCATGCTAAAAAATGTACCTTTAATGTCTGCATGCGTTTCTCTCAAATATACACAATATTATCTTCATTAGAACATGATAACAGCTTTGAATTAAAGGCTCATGAATAACAGTGATACAAATGATCAGCTCGATAACCTCAAGAGGTGCACAAAACCTCATTCATACTAAAGCATCAAAGTAAGCACTAATTTGACACTTAATTCACAGGCAGCTATAAAGAGAGTGCGTCAGAGATGGAGAGAGTGAGAAAACGCATAAAAACTGCGAAACGAACGTCACAACGCTTCCCACAGGAGATATTTGTCACCACTGGCTTATCGTAAACAGCAGGAATCAAAGAGACAGAAAGAGAAACACTAATTAGTTATGGCCTGAGGGGGTTTCATCAGTAACAATCGATAACACCGACTGAGAATTATGGGAAATGATTTAGCCAATCAGAATAGACGATTAAGATTTGAATAAATAATGAAGCCAGTATAACCAGAGACTCTGGCGGTTCACATTTCATAAGTGCATATTGACGCCTCAATAATAAACGAACAACAGCTTATTTTGTTCTGCATACGGTGGCTTTGGCACTCACAACTGTGTAAATCTCCGGGTGAGTCATTGCTTTTCGGGAAGCTGATTCAATCTTGTAGGAGACATGACTGATGAGTCCTTAATACGCTTTGCCTGAACCCGTTTTCGCCACACAGACAAATATTTGCAGGCACCAACATATGCTTTATACCTTTAATGTATCTAATGAACATGCTCTGCACAATATATGGCCACACATAATCACATCCATTCCCCACACACGGAAAACCCACTCCGAGCTCAATATTGCAACCTCCTCATCAGAAGCTGTCACAAGCTCTGGGATCGTTCCACAGGAATCCCTGGTGGCTTGCAGTCGCCCTCAGCTTTCCTGACGTAACGTTCAACAACATGACACTTGTGACAGCGCTGTAAATTATTCAGTTTTACCATAACAGCTGATGTTGAACCAGGTCATTCTCGCCCGCTCCGTAACAAGCATCCTCCAATGCAAGAGGGTTAATTGGAATGCCAGTTCGGTCTGAAGAGCCACATACTTGACCTGAAGAGCTGGGGAATTCAGTAAGCATAGGAAGCTGACTACATAGGGAGCATCCTAACTGTCATGTAACCTAATAAATGAGAGATTCCCTCTAGATAAATGACGCACCAAATTTAGACTGATTTTATGTTATTAAGCTGCTAAGCTAACAGTGTGATGCTTAAGCATAAAAATATACATTTTACACATACTGGGAAAAATAATAAATTTTGAATTACTCAGAACTGTATTTTTTATTTTTTTTTATAATATATAGTATCATCGATACTATGCAGTAATAAATTAAATTTGAATGTTGGATTCTTTCACTGAGCTGTAAAATGTAAATAAATATTACACATTAACATTAAAATGAAAAATAAATAAATAAAAATGAATGTAAAATAAAATTCAAGGTCATTTCCATCTGTTCTAGAGCACCAAATTTTTACAATCAAATATTATAAATAATATAAAATAAAATATCAGAAGAAATAAAGGATAAAATAATACATTTTGAATTACACAAATCTTTTTTTATATACATTTCAGTATTAATGATACTATGCAGTAGTGAATGGAATTTGAATCTTGGATTAAATATTAAAGCTCATTTTTTTATTAAAATAAATACAAATAAATAAATACAAATTTAAAAAATAAAATTTAAATAAATCTATTTGCTAAATTTTTACACTGCTTTTTTTTCTGTTAGCTCCTTTGATTAACATCAGCCAGACGTCCCAAGCTGAGGGAATTATCATTATTAATAAAATATCAGAAGAAATACAGGAAGATAAGAAGGAAGGAAGGGGAGCGAAAGAGAGGGAGGGCAAGAAAATAGGTAATGGGTAAAGCGAGATAGAAAAAAAGAGGAAAAATAAAAAGGGGAGCCACTAGGTGAAGATGAAATAATAAATAATAAAAGGAAGTCAGCATGCTTCTAGAATGTGACTGAAGGTGAAACAAGAAGAGGAAAAACTATGTAAATGTGTGTGTTTTGAGGCTGGAGAGGAATGTTTCCTGTGACTCCAAAGGGTCAGAGAAACAATTAAGGTAGGTGGGAAAAAAAGAGAGCTGAGAGGAACATTAAACATGAAAGTGTATGAAATGTGGTCAGAGAAGATACAAGAAACTGGTGGAATTCAATACAGCAACATAGTAATTTCCAGTCTGAGATACACAAACATTCTCTCCACCATTCAAAATAAAACACAAAGTCTACATGGATCTGCACGTTGTTTTCTCTCTCTGTGCGTGTGTGAGTGTGTGTGTGTCTGTAATTATTATTCTCAATGGCAATTCCTTATAGATTCTCAATTTTGTCTTATGTTTTTTGTACTAGTATATTTTGGGAGGGTGTGCTTAATAGTCATGAAAATAGTGCAATTTATCTTATACATACACCGCACTAATACACTCCTGTTCAAAAGTTTCTTTCAGTTTCTTTTCTTTTGAAAGAAATGAACACTTTTATTCATTAATATGAAA